GAATTGGCAAAAGTCTAGAAATGATTCACACAGAGGAGTCTGGCTGGTTGATTACAAGTTCATTCAGGGCTCCAAAAACCATTTGCTAGGGCAACAGGGGAAGAGCAAAAGACTCCACGGTGCACAGGTTGGGTGGACTTGGGGTTCTATGCTTTCTCGGAGTGGCTTGGAGTTGACTTGGTGACACTAGCTTTTGATGAAGAAGATGTTACAGGGGCTGAGTACATAGTGGATTTTGGCTCAGCCTCACCTTACATGGCCAAGCCAGCAAGCCTGATGCCTGCCCCTCTGGCAGCGGAACAGGGAGACAGGACTCAGTAGCTGGACTTGAGGTTGCTTCTCCCAGCTATGCCCTGGCTGAGTCGGTCCCATCCCACCCATCCGGACCATCCCACCTTCTTCCAGCCGCGCCACTGACCTTTGCCAGGAAGGCAGCATTTCTGATGGCGCCCACCATCTCTCCCCCTTTGGGATGGACCTTGGCGACATGCAACCACATCCGCTCCCAGGTGTGGCTGTCGATCGGAAAGCCACTCTTGTTCACGTGGAACAGCACCCCGCCGTCTTTGTCCTCCTCCTCTGAGCCTCCGCTGGTGGCGAGGCTTACTGGCCGCGCGTGGCTGCTCCGGGACCGGGTGCCTTTGGCGCCTTTGGGGTGGGGGCAGCGATGAGTGTCCGCGGCGGAGCCGGTCATGGTGAGGGGCACGCGGCGGGGGACTTGGGCGCGCCGGAGATCAGAGCCCCGCGGGGTTGGCCTTCATCTCTCACAGCTGCAGGACGCGCTAGGGAAACTGCCGGGCTTCCCACTCACTGACCGGGCCTGAAAGCAGTGGAAACAGCACACACTGCTACTCAGTAGACAGGCAAGGGGGCTCCCGCCCATCCCCAGCCTCCCTACCCCAGACCCACCCACTTAGGACTAACGCGAGCCTCTAGCCCGGCGGATTACCTAGCAAAGTGGCTGGAAGGGCGCCACGAAGACTCACACTCAGCTGCACCCGGGGATGGGGAGGCATGCAAAGAGCACGGGGTGCAGAGAGGACGGGGTGGGAAGAAGCAAGACAGCTGTGTAGCAAGAAGACACCGGGGGTACCCTCCAGGCTCCACTCATTCCCGGGTCCCCAGATGTGGTGGATCGCCACCGACCCACAGCAAGCCGGCACGTGAGCACCCAGGGCTGGCGCGAGGGCGCCGCAGCAGCTTCTGCTTGTTTAGGAGGCCTGGCGTCTTCCCGGAAGCCCCCCAAACCCTGGCGCGCGAGGGGCGGCTCCAGCCGGGGTTCCCGGGCAAGCGCAGCGCCGCCCCCTTCCCTCCGGTCCCGTGCGGGCACTGTGAGTGGCAGCTGCGGGTGGTCAGGGCGCGCGCGGGGCACTGGAACCCACCTCGAGCCAGCCGGCCTCATTGCTGCAGAGGGCTGCTGGAGCTGTGGAGAATGTTGGCTCATTCCATCGCCCATTCTCGAATGTTATTCTGTGACATATAACCGAGTCACCCGGGCAGCCGCCGATGTTCTGGAGGCGTCCATTGGACACCGCAACAAAGAGGGGCGGGTCTCGGACTCGGGACTCTACAACCCGGAGCTGTGCAGCTCTGTGATTGGCTCCAGGGTCCCCAGACGGGAGGGGATCGAGTAAGGGAAGGTGGGCTGCCACGCGAAATCCGATGCTGCCGTGTCCCCGCGGAGCTTGAGTGACTCTCCAGGAACTACGGTCCAGTTTCGCTGGGGCGGAGGCGCAGCGGCGAAGGCCCCGAGATGGGACTTGGAGGTAGAGCGGGTCTTGGTGTTGGAGCCGTGTTCTAGTGACCCGGCCCTACACAGTGCTCTGGGTGCCTCAGGAAGCGCTCAACATCAATACTTGTCGCAATCCTCCATTACAAGTTTTTCTCCAGATTAACAAGTGCTTACAGCCGTACATCTTCTGTTAAGTAGTCATGGATAACAAGGGCCCTCAATCCAAGCTGCCATGACACACACGAGGCCAGTCAGGCCCCTTCTGCCACAGCTACTGCTTTGTGGATGGATGCTTGAAGCCAAGGAGTGGCCCTCCCACAATCCCCACTAAAACATTACCCTTTCCTCCTTCTCTTCCCCTCCTCCCCCCATTTTTTTCTGAGACAAGGTCCCACAGCCCCCAACCTGGCCTCAAACTTGCTAGGTAGAGAAGGATGACCTTGAATTCCTAGTCCTGTCTCCACCTTTCAATCGCTGGAATTACAAGGGCCTTACACGTCCTGTTCATGTATGCTGGAAATTGTCCGCAAGGTTATGCTAGGCAAATAAGTACTTTACCCAATGAACTACCTCCCCAGCCTTGAATAGCCTCTTCCTCCTCCTCCTCCTCCTTCCTCTCTCTCTCTCTCTCTCTCTCTCTCTCTCTCTCTCTCTCTCTCTCTCTCGTGTGTGTGTGTGTGTGTGTGTGTGTGTGTGTATACACGATGTGTGGAGATCAAAGGACAATGTGCTGGTGTCCATTCTTGCCTTACACCATGTAGGTTTCAGGAATTGAACTCAGGTCCTCAAACTTGGTGGAAGCCAGCACCCATTGAATCATTTCATCAGCCAATACACCTTTTCCTTAATGATAGTATCTTGTTCCTTCTTCCCTTCTTCGGCCCCCCCCCCCCAACTCCTCATTCCGGATCTTCTTCCTTTTTGAGAAAGAACAATAAGGGGAAGTGGGAGAAGCCACAGACCACTGACCCTGAGGCTCAGCAAGTCTAGGTTTGCCCCTTGCTGAGCTGTGTAACCCTGGATACAGTTTGTCTACTCTGGACCTTCACATCTCTTTCTGAAGGGAGGAAAACCGGAGCCCTCCTCCCTAAGTGCTGGCTCTCAGGTTTTGTGACTGCAAACTGCTGTCTCCTGAACATGCAGGAGCCTGGCCATAGCCTGGCTCTGAATTGGAGGACAACAGCCTAGTTTCAAACAGGTGAGTCAGTTGTGCCAAGCATGGAAAGAAGCAAACCTCCCTGTTGGACACTACCAGGAAGAGGAGTCCATTTCTGACAGGGCTCCAAATGGAAAGCTCAAGAGGCAGGCAGGGTGGGAGCCAGGATAAGCAGAGGACCAGAGAGGGCATTGGGGACTGCAGACCACCAGACCCTGAATCTCCTGTAAACAACATGTTTTCCTCTGCTCCGAACAGCCTGCAGCTGCTCTGAGCAGGAGACCCTGATGGCAGGGAAGAGGGTTCTGGTGGCTTGCAGCTGAAAGATCCCAAGAGCTGGAGCATGGCCAGAGCCTTTATAAGCTGACAGTAAAGGGGGCATTCTTACTTCAAGGATGACCTGTGTCTCTGTCTCTGTCTCTGTCTGTGTGTCTTTGTGTGTTTATATCTCCGGGCCCTTGCCTGAGACTCGCAAGCCACCTCATAGTGCAGGTGCTGCACTCCAGGCTTAGTCCCGTAGTACATGTAGTACAGATGGATGCTATGTGGAAGCCCTAGCGAGATCGGGAAGTAAGGATCCCTGAGGGAATGGTGAGGGTGAATTGAAAATGGGCATATGCTTTTCAATCCCCGGACTCTTGCTCTATAGAGGTTCTGGGAGGTGCAGGTGCCACAGCAGGAGGCACCGCTGAGACAGGAACTAGAGGGTCTCTGAATGATGCCCTCTGAAAGGCAGGGAAGTGATAAAGGTAAAGAGGAGGCGGGAGGGTGAATTCGAGGTCTTGAGAAGATGGAATGTGTACAGATGTATGCTATTGTGTTTCCTTTTGGTTTTTTTAAATTATTATATTTTCTTTCTTGACTGGAGATGAGAGCAGACCCCCTGAAGGTCGCTGTGAAGGGCCCCCAAAGATACTTCACCCAATAAACAGTAGGAAGTAGCTGGAACAGAACTACACCCAAATTCCCTACTGGAGGTTGTGGGGCCGAGGGGGACACTGTGGGCTGTGGCTGTGACAAGCACTGAGGTGACTCCTGAGGCAGCAGAGGAAGGCGGCGGCTTGGTTCAGAGTCCTGCTCCACTCCCCCAAAGTATTTCCAACCTGAAGCAGCCGGGCCAGAAGGTGGCTGGAACAGAGCTCTGTTAGGGAGGCAGCCGACTGCTGTGAGTGCTCGCAGAGAGGCCCAGAAAGTGGCAGTGCCAGGGGGCGGTGAGAGGAGCATAGCCCCGGACCAGTGGGTGATGGGCCTGGTGGAGCCACCCAGGCCGAGAGAGACGTTGGGATCACCATGGCCTGTAGTGGCTGCTTTTGTCATCACTGTGGTGCTGGCGGCAGATCATCTTTATGCCATGCCTATGCCAGTCCTAATTATATAGAAAGGGGGATATGTCGGGGGCTGCTGACAATAAAGGGGGCATTCTTGTTTCACGGATGATCTGTGACTCTGTGTGTCTTTGTATGTTTAGATCTCCAGGCCCTGGCCCGGCTCACGAGCATGAACCATCTCCTAGTTCAGGCACCGTGCACTACAGAGTACTGTAGTACACGTAGTAGCACGAATGGTACAAGAGGGGACCTGGGTTCCAGACCTGCCAGGACAGAGCCCTGGCATGGGATTATGCAGTCAGCGCTAAGCCATGCAATGACAGTCTATGTGGACAAAGGCAACAGGCCATATTGGAACTGTCATCAGGCCATGGGCAGCAAGCACACCGGGGAAAGAATGGGGACACAGAAGGACAATGGGAGGTCAGAGAATCTCATTCCTGACTAAGAGGGTGCCCACCTCAGAGAGTGAGCTATCTTCTCATCTCAAACATCCTCCTCTCTTTCTGCAGTGCATCCTTTGGTCCATTTCTCCCCTGCCACTTCCCTGGTTCCCAGTGCAGAAGAGAACTCCAGGACAAGCATGTGTGTGGATCAGGACTTGGCCTGCCAGTCCCTTAGAGAAAGCAATGACTCCCAAGGTGAACAAGCTGGTTGACAAACAGAAGAATGGCAAAAGCCAGGTGTGCTGCCATTATGGTTACTTCCGCTGTCCACACACAGGCCAAGTCCAACGAGCACCTATCACCTTGTGCAGCCGGAGCCAGAATCCTGGTTTAACCCAGACACCAGAAGAGGTGTGTGCTTTCCCTTCCTGCTCTAAGATGCCCCACAGCTCCCGAACAGTGGAGGGGAGAGCATTTGCTGACAGTCCCCAGGACTCTGGTTGCTGGTTTCTTCTTCCCACAGAGGGGATGAGCAGCGTGCCCTGAGAAGATAGGCACAAGATTTAGCAACTTTTCTAATGAGGTCGATGCAGGCTCCTGAGTGAACTTGCTGTCCCAGAGGCCCAAGACCTCTTCATCGAGAGCTGTGCTGAGCAACAAGAGAGTGGGCAAGAGCCAGAGTCCCAGTATCCCACTTAAAGGATGTCCTCAATAATCCAACTTCCTTTCGTCAGACCTGCTGTGGGGTTTGGATGGGAAATGTCCCGCCATAGGCTCATGTGTTTGAATGCTTGATTTCCAGCTGATGCCACCTCAAACCTTTAGGAGCTGGAACCTTGCTTGAAGTTATTATTGAAATTAGAAACTGAGGTTTTTATAGCCTATGCCCACTTCCAATATGCTCTCGTTTCTTGTTCCTCCTAGATCTGAGATGAGGGTCCCAGGTGCACACTGCTGCCACCATGGAGCCACCCATCACCATGATGGACTATGTCCCCTCCAACTGAGAGCCAAAAATAAACGCTTTCTCTCAGAAGTTGCATGGTGTTGAGTAATTAGCCGCAGCCATGAGAAAAGCACCTAATACAGATGCCTTTCTCCTGAAGACGCTTCAGCTCCCTACAGCACCATGGCCCAGCAATGAGGACCAGCAAATGACATCTAGGGACCCAAGTCTGTTGTTTTTCATTCAATACAGTGGCTGCCCCTTAAGCACCTGCTGTCCCAACTGCAACTTCAACTCTGTGGCTACAGCAGTGTTTTTTTGTTTTTTTTAAATATTTATTTATTGATTATGTATATAATATTCTGTCTGCGTGTATGCCTGCATGCCAGAAGAGGGCATCAGACCCCATTACAGATGGTTGTGAGCCACCATGTGGTTGCTGGGAATTGAACTCAGGACCTTTGGAAGAGCAGGCAATGCTCTTAACTTCTGAGCCATCTCTCCAGCCCCCTACAGCAGTGTTTTGGCCACACTGCTCCCAGCCAGGTGGGAATTCTGTTCCCTCAGGCACCATCTCTTTCACGGCTGCTGAAGGAAACTATCTAAATCTCTACCCTTCTATAGAACTCAGAATTCAAAGGTTGAGGTGAAATCCTCCTGGCTCAGAGAGGCTGAGTAACAAACAGCTAACCTTTTCTCC